TAACGCTGCACCGCTGCACAAAACATCGCGGCAACGCGTTGTGGAACACACCACGCTGGTCGTTGCTCTCGTGAACCCGTGAACTACGGTGGAATTTTTTTTTTTCCCACCGTCGCGTTCCCTTGACTTCTTCGTTCAGGCGTGCACGAGCGGATACGAGCGGAGAACGCGGCACGCGAGGCACGGGATTACGCGAGCGCGCGAATCGATTGGGCGTAGAACCGGCGAAAGTCGCCGCGAACTTGACTTGATCGCGCAGTCAGTCCGCTGCCAGGTGAAGCTCACATGTCACCGCTGTCAGGCCTGTCTGCAATGTCATTCCCGCGCTTCCAATGTCCGCGGGACATCCCCTGATCGCGTTAACAGATGTTTCCGATCGAAAGTATCTTGGGTGATTTTCGAACTCTTAAAGAGAAAAGACAACGCGGTTCGATCTCGACTTAAGATTCTTCCACAAATGCGATTGTTTCATGACGCCTTGACCTTGATCATTAATGATTTTATGACGAATTTTACTTAGCGAAAAAAAAAAAATCGAGGAAAATAATGCTTCTGTATTTTTCTAGTTATCGATATCATCTACCCTTACTTAAGCATATATTACGCTTTAAATTGTAACTTTATTTATAGTTTACTTAAAATTAACGGGGAAATATGATCCGCTGTTTATTTGTTCTTCTGAAGTTCTCGCTTTACTCGTAAAGTTCAGTTCTTTTTAATCGCTGACTCGGAAACTGAAGACTTCCTGAGTTCGGCAAGTAAATATTGGAAAAACGGTAAGCGACAAGATGAACAGCCACTATGAGAAACGCCCGCCCGTTCGATCAGTATGCCGAAAACGAACGAGGGGGAGGAACGGAACTGAGAAGTGGTGTCCGTGTCGTCGTGAATAACTCTAGCTGCTACATAATACTTTGCTATAATAGCATATAATATACTTCTCGTTCTGCACTTAGAAAAATAATTATCACAGTTCCTATCATTTAATAATTAAAATTTTTAAAAACGTTTCATTTTTTCTTTTGTTCAATAAAATATTTATAATTTTTTAAAAACACCTTCATTTGCTGGTATTTCTATCCTTTTCTTTTTACAAAACTTAACTCATTTAATAATACAAAACTTAGTTACGACACAAATTGCAAAAGTCAAGGATTACAAAATCTAAAATGTATTTCTTTATTACATATAGGGAACATTACTTATCGCAATAATTGTGAATAAACAATTGCACAGAGCGAGAGGTAACAATTATAATCTGTCATTTTCGAATCTTTACGGATCATTGCTGACAATGAATAGTTTTTTTTTTTTAAATAAGAACAAAACAATAACACTGCAATCTTCCAATTTAAATTGTTTTGCAGTCCAACAAATTGACGTTGGTTCGTATATTACTGTGGTACGATTCTTGTCAGAATACATTGCCTATTTATTTTCAAAAGAAAGGGATGAATGGGTAAAGATATGAAAGTGCAGAAAGTACATGCAACGTCGTGGAGTATATTATTATGATCGAGCTGCACCACCCAGTGGAAGCAACCACCCGCTCTGCACCCACCCGGAGGTCGACGACGTACGCCTACAAGAAGGCGTCGCGACGGCGACGAGAAATTACGCGTGTATCGCGCGGACACATTCGGGGCGGGGACGACGGACATGCATCGAAAGCACGGCGCTGCGGGGAAGGCGGGAGGAGAAGGCAAAAGAGAAAAAAGCGCAGTGACCGGCAGGGAAGCTCACTCACCCTGTGAAGCGAAATGCTTCGTGACCATGATGATGCGCGCGTGGTCCTTTTCGCTGCTTCGAAATTCAGAACATCATACCCTCCTCCACGACGCGCGGTGACAACCCCTCGACGCGTACGACTGTGGGGCAGGAGGACGGGGAGGGGGGGTCCAGCGGCGTATCCCGGCGGGCGATGCGTGTACGAGGTAACTACCCTCGCAACGGAGGACGCGAACGGCACCGGAAAAGAGTATTCTGACGGGACTGTCTCACCCTGTTAGAAATCACATGTTCGTCGTTTTATAAACTTGTTGTTTACTCCCTAGTGTCTTTAGGATTCAGCCGAGGAAAAGGCGGTCGCGGGACAAACGACGAGAAAGGAAGAGTATCACCTTTCGCGCACCACCACCACCATCACTACCACCACTCTGCCACCGTCAACACACCACAGCCACCCGCGCACGCGTTCACCCTGATTCCAACTACGAACAACACACGTGCTCGACAGTTGCTACCCAACTGATACGGCCCACGATTCCGCGATCCCTCGCCGACTACGTTCCCTCTCTGCCCCTCAGTTACTTCCGCTCCTGGTCCTGCGCTTCTCCCCACCTAACTCCATCGCTCCGGCAGTCTGTGACAGCGTTGGAATTGACTCCTTTCGGAACGTTCTCCGGGTGCGAGTGGATGTCGCCATCTATACGGATTTCGAGAACAGTTGGTTCAATCGATAAGAAAGAAAATTATAAAACTAACAAAAGCATGCGTATCCCTCTCCTGATTTTAATAAATTTTGAATTTTAGATCAAAATAAAAACATATATTTATTTATATTTATGTTTTCATGCGTTAAGAGCGATAAAACACTTCTTAAAATGCTAACCTTTTTATTTCTAAAAGTATGCCATTCAAATGATAAGAGCTATTGAAAAATGTTTTAAATAAAATTCTATATCTTCAAAGGCATTTGTAAATCGCATTCAGAATATGAATAAAGTTATATCCTGCATAATTTGAAAGATGGCGTCACGTAGTTTCCATTTCTGCGCTAGGTAAACAGATTCTTCTGAAATTACATCCGTATTCTCGGGCTTTGACGCGTCTTTGTTAGATGACACGTCGTTAGGATTCATCTGATACTTTTCTATACGTGCCGCATTAGCATAAACAATGCGATATTACGCGGTCAATGGCAGGACTGGGGCACCGACCATCATCATCCCGCGACCGTATTTAGCCTTCCGGAAGTGCGTTGCGCCTAAACAAATTCACTATTTATGCAGCGCAAACGCAGTTACGTCAATTCAATTGATTACAAATCGCGATGCGTATCGTGTAACCGCACTCTTCAAGGTTCTCACAATCTACCGTTTGTCTTCTCGTCTGAGACGATGAAATAGCCTTCCTTTAATAAATCTTGGAATGGATTTTTTATTCAAATATTTTAATTTCTTTTTAACGAAATTAATTTTTGAAACATTGCGAAACTATAAAGTGAATTTCCTTTTGGTTTCTGTCAAGGATAACTTATATTTCTTTAAAAATTGGATTTTTTGCAATTTATAACTACAAGAAATGCAGAAATGTGTTTTCCGTCATTTCATTATTTTTAATCTCTATTTTATAGAGACAGATAGATTAGAATTTTTTAAGAAAAGAAGTATATACGACTCGGATATCGCAACATTTGTTTTGCTGACCTTCCTAAGCTTGGCAACGAGACGATGACGTGAATTCACATCGCGACCGCCGTTATGCGCTTGAAAAACCGCAAAGCAATTTGATTCGGCGATCGCTGGCGTGGGTGGTGCAGCTCGGCCTTCTCCGCTTGTGTTCGTGTTAACGGTCGCCGATGACGTCATTGCACCATGAACGCAAGGATCACGTAAATCTTTTAAGGAGTGCTTCAGTCCACAACTCTCATTTCTCCATCTTTATCCTCAAGTGCCCTCCTTACTAGTTACGGCAGCAGACTCAATAATAATAATAACAAAGATATATTGTATTAATGTATTGACTCCATATTTTTCAGATATATCTCAATGAGTGATCATATCACTTTGGACAATTACAATAACAGACGATTCAATTAGAAAAAGTTATACACGGATATTCATAAATGTCTAGAAAGAAAGTAGTTTAGAGGACACACGTTTTTCTTCTTCCTTTCTTCATTATTTGTATTTTAATAAAATTGTAACGTTCCATATATTTAAATATATGTATATACATCTTTTTCCTTGACATACATTGCGTCATTCTTTTTACGTATATCTCTTTCAGATTATGTTGAATATTAATTTGAATATCCTCTACAGTTCGCCTTCGACGGTCTTGGAGCAAATAAGCTGGCGCGATCGAGTTGCGCGGGAATTACGCATGCGCATTTTCCTCGTTCGACTCGCTCCGCTTAGTTCGGAGCAGCGGCAGTAGTCGCTCGCGGTCGTCCGTCACGAGTTACGAGCGTGTGAGCAAAAAGGATGATGTCGCAGTTACTGGACGCGCTCGAGGTTCGACGAGGACGCCAGCGTCTTCCGTAGGCCAACGCCACGCGACGCGAGACGGCTGCCGTAGCGTCGTCGCGACGCCACGCGTCCGTACCGCTCTTGTGTGCCGAAGACGCGCCTCCTCCGCACATCTCATCGCCGCGAGAAACGGTGGTGGCGTTGATCGCACCTCGCGTTTCCTCGCCTCGTTAAGCCCGATGCACTCCTTCTCGGGAGACCATGGCATCGGTGAAGGTGGCCGTGAGGGTTCGACCCTTCAACAAGAGGTGCGTGTGTGTCGTGCAACTGGTGACCGGAAGAACTTGCCTCGCCTCACCTCTCATCTTGCACCGCGAGAACGAAAGAATCACCCATGCATCACCCACGATGTCGTATACCGTCGTTGTACTCGCCTACAATTCCGATGCTAGAATACCCGTCCGCGCAGTGCGACAAAATTTCGTTTCCTTTTCGGACGACGTCAGTCCGAATTCGCTGTGAATTCAACTGCACGCATCGGCGTCGTGAATACGCTAGATATATATCACGTGCAAATTTATCCGAGAGATTTACGCGAGCGTAATGAGCACGCTGACCGATCAGAGTCCCTTTTGATCCCTGATTCAAATTCCGCAAGCAATATGTTGACTTACGCTGAGCGTGTCATATACATATTTGCACACATCGAGTCGTGGACGACGGCATTTAGGGCGCAACCACCGTTGCATTAACGAATTCACTGACGTCTTCGAACGTCCAAAGAATGTTTCCAGTTCCCTCAATGTCCTTTGAACGTATTCTAGATTTTCTTGTTGTTTGTATTGCCAGCAGTCGATATCATTACGCAATTATTTTGCGGTCAATAACATCTCGCAGACGACGTTTCTTCGTATTACAGCGTATTGATCATCGACAAGAATATTATCACTAAAATCATAATTTTGACACATTATTAATAAGTACAAAGGATTCTCCCAACTGATGTACGCACGCGATCAATGCAATTCATCATTAGAATGATTCATGATTATTTGTATTCGTATACTCTATGCTTTTGTAGAGAATAAAAAATAAAAAGAGTAAAGGTCATTAAAAGCATGATTTCACTGTCTTTCTGCGAAATAAAGATTTTACTTTTATCCATTTTGTCTATCTTACAAGTCCACTTATCAGACATTTATGTAAACAGTTTTATTTGCGAAAAGTGTTTTGATTTTATTTGAATTTTTTATCTATATCGATCTCAATAAATAAAATTAAAAAAACAAATTTAAAACGACTCTACAATTTAAACCACACTTTTGTGCATTAGGAAAAATTTTATATCGATAAGATGTTCCAATTAACAGAATACAAGTATTCATTGTCCAATTAAATTGTTGAAAATTTTTTTTTTTATTTTTTTCTTTTTCATTATATTTCTTATACATTCGACGCGAGATTCAATTGTGTTTCTTGATTCTGAATAGAAAAATTCGTTTAGTTTTAATTTTATCTCTCTTATAAGTAACAAATGATTCTGACATTTAATATTTGACGATCAACAAAACACTTTTACACAGTCGCGTTAACAATATCGGTCATTATTTTCTCTTTTCGAGATAGAAAATAAATATCTCGGTGCAATGTCCTCTTGAAAAACGGCAAATTCAATTATTCTGTCAGCTGCAGAAAAGTTTGAGAAATGACAGCACAACTGCAATTCAGCCGCTGTTGTCGCACGTTATTGACAGCACATGACATAATTGTGTCATCGTGATATTGACTGGTGTGCATTACGAACCAGTGAACGGCCGCGCGCGATTTCCGAATTCGGTTTCCGTATTGCTTGTCGCAACGTCGGGAGAGGTCGATGCCGGGATAACATCTTGGTTATTGCTTTACAGAGAGGTAGCGATGAACGAGAAATTAATCGTGCAGATGAATGGCAAGAGGACGCGGATCTTCAACACCAAGGTAGGTCATTTCGCACGCGCGTCACTTCCATCCTCCCTTGTCGAAATCAGTGTCGAATCTTCATTTTATTCGTTCCGCGCGACATTATTTAATTACTGAGTTATGATGTTTTTACATAACTTGAATATTATTATCGCCATCCAAAACAAAAATTATAAAGGACTCACTAATATGACAATTTTTTAGACGCAATAATGAATGCAGTGACATTAGCTTATCTTCTGCATTGTTAGCTATTCTTTGTATAATTCTTCATTTTTCATACGATTTTGTTTTCAGAAAAATGTATGCTTTGTTATAATTTTGAAAAATTTTAAATTAAATTTTGATCTTAAATATTTTAATCACAATTTAAATTTTTTTAATGAATTGATAATTTGAATTTATAAAACAAAGAATTATGATTCTTTTCTTTGAATTCTTTTGTTGGACTATATAATGATAATGATATTTAATCTCTGTTGAAAATCATCATTATTGTTATTATTGTTATGTAGCAGCTGATCCGAGCAGCTGCACAAATGCGACAGTAAATTTCGAGTATGATCATTATTAATCGAGGTCAACTCTCGCATGGACGATTTTCGCGCGCAAACGCGAGTCGGAGCTGATTTCGGTCTTGTTTCACAAGAATACAAATTCGATCAATCGCTACATAGTGGATGTTCCAGAAGAAACAGAACTGCAGGAAAGCAAGCAATACAAATTATCAGAACTAGACGATTCGGAAAAAAAAAATTAGAATTTATCTGTTATGTTTACGTTTTACTCTTCATGGGAATAAAATATTATTCATCAGTTTTTAATTTTGATTTTAAAGTTGATAAAAACTTTAAGAAATTTTAGATACAAAATTTTGAATTTAACTTAATAGTATATTTCTTCTTCATTTGATATTACATTAAATATTTTTTGCATGTTAAAAAATATATTCATAAAGGCAATTAAATAATAGGAAAATTATGCATCGTTCTATTTAAAACAAAGCTTAGTTTATTATGAAACATTTAATTTGCAGCTTTTGTAAAGTTACTCTTAAGCGTTAATGCTTTTATTATTGAGAATTATTGAGAATTATAAAGATAGTGGCTAGATCAAATTACGTGGGCGGATACCAACCTGTTGTACGAGAGACGCACCTTCAATCTAAAAGTGGTTGTTGTCGCATATTTGCGTTTTGATTCTATGTTTATAAACTGAAGGTCCATTCATGATGCAAGCGCGATTATATCATGAGTCCACCGTCCTCTTTAGTCCAAACTAAGTGCAAGTTCGGTCTTTCGACATCTCGCGCAATCAAATTTTGCATAGTGTAAAACTTTGATATCACAAAAAGTTTCGACGCTACATTTTCAATTTGCAATTACACAGTCTATCATTCATTTATCTTAATTTAAAAATAAATGTTTGTAGCATCAAGTGTTATTTCAATACTATCTCCAATATTAGAAGGCTACTATGTAAAATATAGAAAACATGTAGAAAATTGATTAGTTATATTAATAGTAATATTCTTAGTTATACGGTAGCTTGAGCGTAAAAACTTACTTCGTGGTACCGCAAAGTACCGAGAACATAATGGCCTTAAATAAACTTTCTAAAGAATTTCTAAACCGGAAGTTGTGACGTGGACGATCTGTTCTTTTTTGCTATAATCGCCTAACGCTTCGCGAATTCAGTATCATAATTTCTGCTCGAATAAATTTTATCGATTCCCAGGCCATAATCAGTAATGTGCCTTTGATCGCTCGATCTTTGATCAAAAGTTACTTCCTATTGATGGAATAAAATTATTTTGCATTTATATATGTTTTATTTTGATACAATTCTAAGAATTGCTTAGAATTAGAAGAGAAGTATATTAGGAAGATAATTAAAAAAAAAAAACGAAAAGAATATGAGTTTTTATTTTTTTCAAAATAGAAAATTACTAGATTGCTCGTTCCATTGATCCCTTTGAAGACAAAGTTGAAATGTTTAAATTTTATAAAATAAACTGCTGAGGAAAAGTTATAAGTTTTATGATAGCATAATCGTTTAAATTGATCTTTGCAAATCGATAACGATAAATTGTAAGATGACTTAACAAAACAAAAAAATGGCATGTGCATTTCTCAATCTATGGTTACCAGCGTGAATCTCCGTGCTGGATGGTAACGGCATGCGTTGAGGAGAAAGTGCGAAAATCGCGGTTGGACCACAGCGATCAACAACAACTCGTTGCTCGACGAGTCGCGCGCGCGCGATTACGGCTACGCAATCGAGTGCAATTGCCGCGCGGCCGTGCCACGCCGTGTTGTATAATCCACGTTTTATCCGCATTCAATTAACCCTTATCCGGACGATCTCTCTTGATTAGAAAGAGAGAAGGCCAATCCCATCGGAGAGCAATAGCTTGGCAAAAAAAGATCGTCGGCGAGAATTAAGTGCAGTCTTGGCCAAAGGCGCATAGCGCACCTAATCGATGCTGATAAGAGCCAAGCTCGCAAATTAACAATACAATTTTAGAACAAACAGTACACAATTACTATAATTAAGATAAATTAAGTAGTATTAAGATAAATATCGAATATATAGTTTCTGTGATAAAATATGTTTTCTTAATCATGTACTTTTTTAATTGCTTTGTGATTTAAAAATATCAGTTGTCGAGATTTATTGAAGATAGATTCTTAGATGATTCTTCAATTTTATTTTGCCTATATATATCGCAGTGGAGCCTAGAAATTTGCATGTGAATAAGAATATAAATTAATAACTGTTTTCTGACCATCAATGTATTTACGCATTCAATTAAATTGCATGCAAAATCGTAAAAGGAAAATTGAAAATCGTTCATTTTATTTTTTAATTATCTTCTATTCACTTTCTTGCATAATGCAGCACGATATTCCCAATGATGTTTTATCGGTTACGTAGAATATAAACCGAGAAATACACATCCGATATATTTAATATATGTTGCCATTTCATTGCAAAAAATTGCAATTCAGATGATTTAAATGCCAAGCAATAGCTTGGAAAAACGACAAAAATAAAGAAGAGAAAAATAATTTAAAAATATATATTTTATGGAATGTCTTAAATTATATTTATTATCTGAAAATATCTACAAAGTCTGAAATTCTTACAGAAATTTAACTGCTGAAGAAATAAACTTATTAAAAAATTTTTAATTAAAAAATTTTTATCAAAGCTTTTTTCAAAATTTTATTTTATTTTATTTTATTTTATTTTGCAAATGTCAAGAGTACCGAAGTGATATATTTTAATATAAAATGTAAATTTTGTTTTGAGATTATTAGATTTTTAAATCAAGTTTTATTTAGCTTTCTTAATAAGTTTTGTAAACTGAGATTTCTCGGCAGTATTGACATTTTTTTGTACTTTTTATTTATGGTGGATTCTATATTTGCTCATAATATTTAATATTTATTAGACACAAATAATTAAAAATTTTATGCAATTTCACGAATCACGTCCTCTTTTATATTTGTTTCAAATCTGACATTTAAAATAAATTATCTTTTGATATAATATAATATATAAGGGTAAAACCTAGGGGAGTAATTAATAATATATTTGAACTTTATCTCGGGAAATTTTATTATTTTAAATTAAACTGTCTGCAAAACCACTGCAAATGTTTTGTCCGGGCTTGAATATAGAGATAAAATTTATTATTTTAATTACATATAGATACAAATTGATTTAATTATATATAGATATAAATGTTACTATACACGTAACACACACACACACACACACACACACACACACACACATATGTCGC